GTGTTGGTATAGCAGCAGTTACCATTCAGCTTGAAGACACTTCTGATAATTGTTTTTTCTTACTCTAAATTAAGGAGGAGCGTGATTGTGTCATGTGCCACACAAAAGTTGGGACATGGCATTGCTTCATTTCGTATGATGGCTGGGCTGCTTCCTTTCTTTCTTTTAATTTTTTGAAGGGAAGAGAAAAGGTTGTGCTTTATTAATGGAACAGCATTCTTTTAATGTGCCAAAAGTGCTTGAAAAGCCTGCGCCTCCGAACCTCCTTATGGGAAGGAGAAATACTGTTGCTTTGGATTAGGTTTGTTTAAATCTCAGGAGAACAGACTTGCATCCCTTTTCGCTCTTTCAAGAGGAGATTTGTTTTGATTTCCGTTCTCTCCTGCTTTCCACAACAAACTGCTGATTTTTAATTTGGACGCTTCCTTCAGACTAGGAAATAATAGAATTACAGTTTTTTCTCACTACTGGTGCCAGCAAAATGAAAAAGCACAGTACATTGGGACAGCAGGTGGCAGGTTGGCACTGTTGGTGAGTGCCATATATTGGAAATAAACATCTGAAAACCTGCATATGTCCCCATACAGATAAAACGAGAGAGATTACATCCTTCTCTGGTCATTCTCTGGAAACATGAACTGTATAACACCTCCAGATGCAAGGGATTTTTACCTCATTCTTGCATGTCACCTCTCCTGCTAAGACTTCTAAGTGTTTTGGCTTTAGTTTTCTTTATTTTGGTGACTTCTGGTTTTGCCTCCTTTCCTGAGAACTGCTATTGCTTTGTCTTCCCCATTCATATTCTTTTTTCTTTCTTTTTTGCTGCATGGAGACTCTCTGCTGTACAAGTGTAAGTATTTTTTTAGCTCTGCTGTTTCTGGCCTACTTGTTTACGTTTTTGTGCTCCATTTGCCTCTGTACTGCCTTGTGAGTCTCCTGGGAGACTGTAGTGCCATCCATCTGCACCTACAAATTAAATAGGCGACGCTTCAGGGATGAGATTGGATTTTACAAGAAGGTTCAGCTATCATAGCATCTGAATTCAAAGCATCCCTTGGCTTTAAAACCAAAAGCAGAGTGCTGATGTCAGAGGTATAAGCACAAATGTTGCTGCTCAGAGGGAAAATCTGTTGTTTTGGCTTGATATTCAAGTGTCATCCAGCTTAATGAAAGAATGGCTTAAAAATGGGCATAACCTAGGGCCTTCTTGCAACTAGGATGGAAGAGGTGTCATGGGTTATCCCAGTTTGGACAGTTGTGTTTTCTTTGCCTAGTTGAATTATCTTGAGCTTTTGACTGCTGTTCTCACCTTTTTGTGCTGTCACCCTTAATGCGTCCTTGAAGCTGAAAACCCATACGTAGTTTTGTAGGAAGGAGGGTCAAAGGGAGACTAGTTGGGGAGCTGAATTTCAAGAAGGGGAAGTTGTTCATTAGTTTTTTTGAGATCTTTTGAAAGGGAAGTGACAGGAAGGTCATGGAGCATCCCTATATCTAATAAAATTCAATATAAACTACTTCAGGGGAGGAGGAGAAAAACATGGAAATGTTCATGTCCCTCAGCACTGAGAGTAATTTCAGTTATCAAGGAACGTAGAGTATCTGAAACCTGTTGCTAAAGGCATAATGTTTTTTAAGAACTCAAAGTGTTTGAGTTGTTGATTTTAATTCCCAAGATACCAAATTTTCTTCCACATTTAGTAATATAAATTAAGAAAAGAGACTTTTGTGAGGGAGGGAGTGAGTCAGAAGAGAGGAATTTGGAAAAGCAATCCATTTAAGATCACAGGAAGAGATCCTGGGAGTTTAATGGTATCTGGGACCCATGAGAGTGTCTAGCTCTGAAGAGACCTTTGTTGGGGAGCGTGGTGGAGATTCACTGGCTCCCACCTACTGCGGAGTGGTACCTTCATGGAGCCGTCTCTAGAGAGCTCAGTGGCATGAGTGTAGGCAGACTTCCAAGAGGGTCTCCCGAGACCCAGTTCCTCTTTTTATCTCTTTTTCCAGGCAGCCTAAAGCATGCTCATAGAGAAGTAGGCAAAACAAGGAAGACAGTCAGGAGCTGGTCTGCTAGAATGGAGAGTCCCTGGAAGAAGTGAAGGAGGGGAAGTTGATACTAACAGCTATTTCCCCTGTAAAGGTCACAAGTGAAATGTAGGGCAGGAGAGCCAGGTTGTGCTTATGTGAAAGGAGGTGGTGAGAAGGCAGAAGGTGCCCATCTGCCAAACCTAAGCTGCTTCCATGAACAGTAGGAAATGGGGCTCAGGCTGGAGAGGGGCAGGGAATCTTTCCTTAGGAGTTCAGATATCTCCTCTGGTAGCGACATGTGCTCAGCTGCTGTAGCATACTGCACAGTGGCTGAGATATTAAGCTGAGATTAAGTCTAATATTTTGTAAAAAGAGCACACTGGCCTATTTAAATTAATGCTTTGACCCATTTTGCTTTGCGTGTGATCTAGAAAGTTCTCTTGGCAAGAAGCCTTTCATCTGTGTACTTCCTAAACAGGCTGGAAAACAGGTTTTCACATAAAAGTGTATGTATAGCTGTTATTCATGCTGTTAAAGCAAATGTGAGGCATCTCTATCCCTCTGCCTTTATCCCCAGCAACTAAGCTGCTGATGGATCGTGCCAAGCTGACAGTACGTTATAGCAGTGATCCAGAAACTGGCTTATGGTCATCATCACAAGCTCTGCAGGGTCATCTGGGGGCATTTTCTTGTGTGGGAAGGAAGATGAAATCATTCTGCTCCTGGCTGTCGGGGATGTCTTGGAGCATTTCAGTCCCTGCACAGAAGCCTCAAAACTTGCCCTGGGCTGTTTTGCACTGGTGCCGTGGGCTGAGGCAGCTCTTAGTTTGTCAGCGTCCATCCAGGAGCACTCTGAACACTGACAGTCAAGTTACTAAGCCATGGGAGATCTATCACCTTTGTTTTTTCCTCCTTTCTGATCTTCGTTAGCGCATGAGTTGCTGCATTATCCTACTAGATGTGATTTCCAGTTGCACCACCAGAAAAAGTGGCAAGCAGACCGAAATGCACACACAATACATGTCAACAAGAGAAATGGGCTACAGCTAGAAATAAAACCAGGGGACTACAGACATTGACTCTTAATTACTGTGCCCCAAATGCTAAGCTGCTTCAATTCTTCCTTTCATGAGGTGCAGATGCCTTTGGCTGTTTCAGGTTTGGGTGATGGATAGCCAGCTGTCGAGGTGTGCAGTTCAGAATCTGCCCAGCTGCCTACCCCGTTGCAGAATCCACTGCAGTTTTGGCTGAAAAGATTCAGCACCTCTCCAGCCACTTGCCATCCAATCCATTGCATTTAATTTATTGATAAATCTGAAAGTAGCATCTGAACTCGTGATGAAATAACATTCTTCCTGCTCATTAGTTTCAGGGTAAGTCTGCTCAGGTGGCAAGCTATTTTCTGGCTGGTCTTGAAACTATTGTATTACTTACTGATACTTGTCAAATGAGGAAGTGGAAGCCTGCAACAGCTGAAGGTATCTGTTTTCCCCAGCGATGTGCATGGCAATAAAAACAGAGCTCTCTTGCCCAGACAGTGCTATCACAGCTTGCTCTGTAGTCTGCAAGTCCTTCTCTGATCTTGAGAAGATTTTCCTGTTACAAAAATCTGCCATAGCCCTGAGCATGTGAATAGTGAAATAATAACCCTCCTGGCTACTTCAGATGGGAATATGAATCCAGTACATGTAAGTCTGCGCACTGAACTTTCCATACATAAACACTAGCAGAGTTTTACCTTAAACTATTCATGATTTGTCTGAAATGTCAGTGCCAACTATGTATTTTCTGGCTCTTACAAAATTGATACTACTAAACTTGATTAACAATTTTGTTAATGAGTTGTGAACCATAACAGCTTCCTGACTGACACTCCAGATTGGAAGCCACTAGGCTTCCAGACTAGCAAGTGAATGGAATTGTATGGATGTCACTAAAGCCAGCAAGTAGGACTGTACCACTAAAGGAGCCCATCTTTGCATAAGCCGAGTCATTTTAAACTAACTCTTTAGAAAACCTACAGGTCAGCTTTTTGTTTAAAAGTCTGACAACGCTGAGCTAAGTTAGGAGGTTTGGAATTGGTGACGCAGGCATTTCCCGTAGCAAAACAGTCTTTCCTGCCATGCAAACTGTCAGAAGACTTCAGGCAAGAAAGTAAGGGCAACTTCTTCCAAAACTAACAAGCTCAAGTCCAGGTATTTATGCTCTTAAGGCAACATACCACTTTTTTCTGGGAATGTGAAGATGAATAGAATAATGGTGCATAACTTCAGTAACTAGGTTGAACGTATGCCAAGATAACTTTCCACTGATTCTCAGTGTATCTGAAGTCCAGGGAAGCCATGTGCTTGCTGGAGATGTTACTAACACTGATGTGGTATTTTTGCTTTTTCATGAAGGGTTGTGCATGCCAAGACTGCGTTTTCCTAGGGAAGTTGTTTGAGCTGTGTGGTAGTGTCCAGAGGCATAGATACCTGAATTTTACTCAGTCCCAGTAGCATGTCACTAACAAATGAACAGAGGAAGTGTATTTTGTATTAAAAATAAAAGCCAGAACAAGAGGGAGACTTTCCCTGGTATTGTCATTAACTGTGCAGTACTGGATTCAGTAATTAAGTTTTCTGTGCCTCATAATCTCAGCTGCAGAGGTGAGGTTTTAGTCATTCCCTTGTTTTACGGTTGGGGATCAATGAGTCAATGCTTGGGCAATTCAAACAATCATCTTGTATACAGCCTACGGTTTTAATGGGAACAATAAACTGCCTCCCTGGTTCTGTTCAAAGTCAGTTGAACAAAATGTCTGAATGTTTGAGAAGGGGAGGAAAAAAACCCATTCCCTCCTGGTGTTAAACCCAATCAGATCTTGAAATGATACAGAGACTTGAAGAACTGATGTGTTGGATAGAAAAGAAAAGTTGTTCTTTGCCATTTCTTCTGTCCACTGAAGTAATTTTGGTTTTGTTTTATGTTGATAGATGACTCCTAAATCAAAAAGGAAAAGCATCCACAGCAGAATGCTCCGGCCGGTATCCAGAGCTTTTGGTAAGTGAGAACTTCTTAAAACTTCTTTGCTTGCCTGAGATTCTTCTAGGTAGTTCTTGGTTGAAAAGCATAGGTGCCTCCGTCTCTCTGGATTGCACTTGAGGCCCACACTGGTTGCTGTGGTTTGTGACTCTTCTAGTGTGCTCCATAGCAAATATTTGCTCACAAACATGTTGTAGTTGAGTTCTCCAAATATGTTTATAATTATTTACCACAAAAGAGAGGAATGGCATTGTCTTTTGTTTTAAATAGCATGTTAAGTCTAATTAGAAAGTTTTGATTTCTCTTAGAAATGGAATTTGATCTAGATAAAGCACTGGAAGAAGTACCTATCCATATAGAAGACCCACCATTTCCTTCCAGCAGGCCGGACAAACGAACTTCTGGATTCATTTCAGAGCTGCCATCAGAAGAAGGGAGAAAACTGGAACATTTTACAAAACTAAGGCCCAAAAGGAATAAAAAGCAGCAGCCCAGCCAAGCAGCAGTGAGTCTACATTAAAATATTGCTGGTGATATTGTCTGATGATTGCTTTTCGCCATGAGTCAGGTTTTGCAATGTAATGAGGGCAACAGTTAAAGTTTTAAAAGTCATAAGCAACTACTTAATTTTTCTTCTGGTACTCATGTCTTTTAGTATGCATTCCTTATTACAAGCTTTTTGTCTTGTTTGACACAGCCCAAAATCAGGATATGTTTTATCCTTTTTTAATTTGCCCTTTTTTTTTTTTTTAATGGAAGCAGCTTCTGGAGGTACTTGGAGCTTTCACAGGAAATGCACAATATATCATGAGACTTTTCAATTATACTGCAAGCGTTTGTTAAGCCTTAATCTTTTTTTCTGCCTACATTAAGACGTGGTAACTTGGCATGAATTCTTATTTCTATCAGCTCTCAGAGGAGCTACTCTGTGACACCCAGCTTCCCACAGCTCCTTAACTAAAGGTGGTGTTTGGGCCAGCAAATCTGCATAGTCACAGATCTGCTTTTCATGCTGGAGCCTGCCTTAGAAAAGCAAAACAGAAGAGCACTGTCTGTCTACGAAAGGCATTGGTGTGAACCCAAGTATATGCGTGTGGAGTTCCCACAGTTCCATTTCCTTGGCACACCACATCAATGAAGACTTATTTCTGTGATGGTATGCCCTCGGGGTAGGTAAGGACAGATCTGGAGGAGTTACAGAGCTATCTCACGGCAACAGAGCACAGCTGATATGATAAGTAAACCTTATCAAAGGGCAGCCATTGCTCCTCCAAGTTATGCTGCCTAGCAGTGAGCGTCTGTGGCCTCTTCTCCCCGAGGATTGTTGGAGGAGAGGACCCTTGAAGATTTCCCTAATGCTAGGAAAGATCATATCAGGCAGTAGAGTGCTTTTTCCACCACTTTGAAATTGAGAAACCTTCAAGCAGAGGGTTTATTCAAGCCAGCTTTCCTGCGCTTTACAGGGAAGGATAGAGGTATCAGAAGGACGAACTGGTGGTCTCTGTGTTGTAGTGAAAACACATCTGTGTTTATTTCTTCCAATCCCAGTTCTGCAGAACACGTGTTCTACCAGTTTCTAAAGTTGCCTCTCTTCCAAACTTACAGGACTCATCCTGTGCCATCTGCACAGGGGTGGGGAAGGAGTGGGGACATGGAGGGCAGGTGTTCCATTGCTGGGCATGGAATAGGACATACAGCATCTTCCTCAACTGAAACAAAAAGCTTACTTGTAGAGGAGAAGTGTTACTTCCCATGATAGTGTAGTGTTCGGGGAATGTTCACCCATATTGAAGTAATTAGGCAATTAGGGGGTTGTTTAGTTGCAGAAATTGAAAGGAACTTTTTTTAACTTAAACTCATTTGTCCATGTCTTGTTTTTATGGACCATTTAATTCCTTACTAGCTCTGACCTCATAACAAGTCTAAACAAATTTTTGAAAGATTTAAGTTGTGCTTTGATGCTTCCAAAAATTGAAATAGCAAATTTTGAAGGCCAGAGTCACGAATAGGCTTTGGCATTGTTTGCAGAATTGATTTGCTCCTGGTTTTGCCACTTTCAGAATACAGAAAGCAGTGGTTAGGAAAAACACTTGAAATGTGAGAGGCAAAATCTTGACCTTTTCTAATGCTTAAAGCAGGTCTGTAGGGTTGTTTGCTGTTCCCATTATTTCCATTTAGTAATTTAAGAGGTCTCAGATGATCATAGCTGTACTTGTCTGGTTTTGCTGGAAAACAGATTTGTTCATTGTGAGCTGAAAAGTATAAGGAAAAAAGTGAGAGAAGTGGAGGGGGAAAAGGGACAAAATGTAAACTTTTAACTTGGGGTAGGTGGGTGAGCAGAAGAAAGATTTATAGTTTCATCAGGGTTTTTACTGAAATGAATGAGGAGGGGAGGGAAGGAGGGTGGGGAGCACCACCTACCCTCAAGTAGCTTTGAAGTAACATGATGAATCAGTTATTTATCATTTAGAATTTGAGAGATCTTAACCTCACGGGTTCTTGCATCATGTGTGAAGATATAGTACAAGAGGTGAATCTCTAATGTATGAGGGATTGTGATTCATCTTACTTATTTGTGCTTCCAAGCGCTTTTTTTTTTTTCCCCTTTAATAAAGAAACAGAAGGCTCAACTTTGAAGTCAGGGATTAATAAAGAAAAAGAGGACAAATGCAAACTGTCTACTTTTCTGTCCCTCTTTCCCCCCTCCTTTCCCTCCCCTCTTCTTTTCTGTTTTTTCTTAGCATTAGGAGCATAAAACACAAAGTCAACCCGAGTTTAGTGTTCACCATGAAACACTGAAAGGCATTACAGTAAACATCCATAAGGATGTGCTGTGCCTTAGGACCTTTATTAGACCCTCAACATCTGTGTACTTCTTCAGTACCTTTTTAGAAACGTACTGCATTTTCAGATGCAAAGTTATTTCTTTTTTGAGGTGGTCTTTCCTTTTTTCTTATTATTTGCTGTGGCTTATTGGATTCTTGCATCACTTCCCCTTCAGGAGATGCACTTGCCTTTGAAACTTAGATGTCTGTTCCTACTATCCAGAGGGCTCTGGTATCAGTATTAAAAGGTTTCTCATTTCTGTTGAAATGCGTCAGCTGCTTTAGCTTGACACATTTTGGTTGCAATGTCAGTGTCAACTGTTATTGACTGAGAAGGTGAACAACCAGCACTGGTGTGCCCAGCTCACATGCCAGTGTATGCATTGCTGCCGAGTGTCTGATAGTCCAGCTAAACAAGTTCTCAGCAGAAAGCCCCAGAGGTGGCAGAGTTGGAAGTCATGGTGCTTATTAGAATAAACCTGTTTTTTATAGAAAATAGGCAGTTTGACTGACAGCAAAGCAGTCATTACCAGGTAGGCTCTTTTCAGGTTAGTATTACATCACTACAGCAGGTATCAATAAAATATTATTTTTGATAACAAAGTAAATGTTAGGCTTCTGACAAGGTTCAGCCACTGGAAAATAAAAAGTTTCATGGATGTGTCAAAGCATTAGTTCATATGAAATCCGTTTTCCTGGCCTTAATGAGGCTGGATTTGATGTTAACAGCGGCTTCTATGAGTGTTTATTTTTCTTTTTAGAGTCATAGAAAAGAGTGTGTATTCTGACTGAAAAGGGAAGCCAGGATTACTGTGACTTATCATGGCAACTAGGAGATTCCTTGATTTCAGTTGTTTCAAATTACAAACGCTGCTCTTTTGTGGCAGACTAATTCCTGGTCATTAGTACAACTAGGAATACAACTGGGCTGGGTCTTGTGAGTCCTCGGTAGTCACCTCAAAGGTTTCCATACAGCATGTAAATTTAAGGAAGTCTTTCTACTGGTAATAGAGCTATTCCACCTCAAAGCCTTGTACAGGAGCTAGACCACATGAGAAATCCTCCCAGGAGACAGCGTGTTTCATCTTCGGGAGGCGGCAGAGTCACCAGCTAATCTTCACAGGGCCTCTGTGGCTGGCAGGTATTACTGAGTCAGCCTGGTTTAGGTGCCTCCAGTCACCCACGTTCCAAACCTGGGCACTGAAACGAAAGAAGGGGAGCGGCTTTTCCATTTTCAGACACTCCGTGAAAATCTGTGTTCGGTTCCTAAAGTGAAACACCTGATGCTGTATTTGGAGTCTCTGCTTCCGGAAGTGCTGGATTGAATGAATTATAAAAGGCACTGTTAGCCTGCTGGAGCTCTGTTTCTAAATCCAAAATCCAGAGCGTAGGTTCTTCTCTGAACAGGGAAACAACTAGCTGTTGCAAATACTTCAGGTCACCACCTGGTCAAGATTTCATTCTTCTGTAACTGCTTCTTTTATTTTCTAACTGAAGTTGTGCTCCACTCTCACAAGCTCTGAGACATCTGATTCCTGGCCTCAGGCATTGCAGTATTCAATTTGTCACTGGTGTGTTTGGGTTACTCTGGATTTGCACTCATGTGTCAACTGGCCTGACTGAAGTGGGATTTCCAGTGGTGTCTCCATTGTCTGCGTTGAGGTTTGGTTGGCACACACTATTTTTATAATGTCTTAATTCTTTATTATGATTATTATTATTATTTAAACAAGCATGCTTAGATTATTATATACCAGAAAGAGTTTTTTCTTTTGTCAGGTGTCTGCTGGAGTGCCTCCAGAAGGGGATCAGAATGGCCTCATGGGGAGAGTGGATGAAGGCGTGGATGAATTTTTCACTAAGAAAGTGACAAAAATGGATTCAAAGTAAGTACAAATTTATTTTTTAAAGGCTGGGCTAGTAGCACTTCTGAGTTATATTTGACTTCTGTTTGCGATATCCAGGGTTGCTGTTGTCAAAGTCAGAAAATACCGCAGTATACTGTCAAGACATTGTGAATTCAATTACCTTCCCTTAAAAATGACTACTTTGAAATAAATTGCTTTGATATACCATATGGAAGGGATTATTGACTAGTGTATATTTTTGTAATTCGGTTGACTTCGTTTTACCCTTTAGTGAAGCTCATTAGAGCTGAAGCAAATCTGTGTATTGGTTGAGGCTCACCTCTGTAGGGCTAGTAGTACACATGGGTGTCTCGTAAGGACTGCTGTTGGCCACAGTGTTCTGATAGATGACAGTAGATTTATGTTGGTTTAGAAATACGTTAAAGATGTGTTTGATGAATTTTTAGTATTTCAGATTTAGGAAATACGTTTGTCTGAAAGATACGTCTCCTTCAGCTTTGTATAAGGGTTACACAGCTTATACAACTGCTTTGTTGCTGGTTGTATCTTTACAGAACCATGCATCTAGAATTTCTTGCATTCCCTCATTCAAACACAAACACACACACACACGCAAATACTTATATAAATAAATGAGAAACCTAGGGTGATCTCCAGACAATTTGGAATGACCCCTTCTGGGACCTATGTGACATCCATTGAGGAAAATGGTAGGTGTTAACTGGTAGATAGATGTGGCAGGAAAAGCAAATGTTTTAGAGTCACCACGAGTTATAAATATCTATAGTGACATGTGAAGCCATGTGTGATACACTATGTGTAGTAGTAAAATTACGGTAGCTTTTGTCGTGGTTTAACTCCGGC